GGAGTCCCCATCCCTGGAGGGGTTTAAAAGCACCTTTCAGATGTGGTGCTCAAGGACACAGGTTAGTGGTGGGCTCACTGGGTTAATGGTTGGACTCGAGCTTAAAGGTCTGTTCCAACCTAAATGATTCTGTGATAACCTAGTAGGAGAGGATATGAGCGATCTGAGAGTCAGTTTAAAAGCTGAAGCTAGTGCAGAGGACACAGGAGGATGTCCCTGATGGAAATGGGAAAGATGACACGACTTTCTGAAAGAAGGAGGACACAGCTGAAGAGGGGAAGCAGTTTTACCCCGTTTTTCTGTAAACGGTTGTGAGCTGACCTTTGTAGCTTGGTGAAGCTGAATCTTTCCCAGTGGGCTGCAACCCTGATTTCTGGTAATTTAACGCTTTGTGGAGTTGCTTTCAACCCATAGCTATGGAGAAATAATTAAAAAAAAAAAGCATCAGAAGCTGCTGAGCAGTGCAGTTGGCTCCATGGCCGTGGCTGGAGGAGCTCCCGGTGGAGCTGTAGGGAAGGGCTGTGGACAGCGTCGTGCCTGCTGGTTCGCTGGAAGCTCATCTTCTCCAAGAAGTGAAATGGGTTTGATGGGTCAGTGGCGTTGCTTGCCCGAATCCTTACAAGGGTGGCTGCTCGTCCCACATGGGTATTCCGCGGGGCTTTGTCACATCAGTATTCCACTCACTCCTCCCCTGCAAGGAAAAGCTGTTTTCGTTGGGCACAACGGCGTGTTGACTTCATTTAGCTGTGTGGCCCTTCGGATGTCCCCTAGATGCCATCTTCTTAGGTCGCTGAGGAGGCATCTCCTTGGGCTCTGAAGCTTCACGTGGTGACAACAGGAGTCTCTTCTAATTTTAGGCTCGAGAGCCTCATCTCCTGAATGTGATACGGGTCCTGTAACCCTAGATACTGCACGGCTTTCGGGAGAAGTGTAGGGTGTCACTCGCTGCCTCGGACAGCTGGTGGGTGAGCGGTGGCCCTCGTTTGTTCGTGGAGCTGCCGTCACGGTTAGCTGGTGTTAAGACCTCAGGACGTGGGTACGTGTTTAGAGCTGTGAATAATATAGATGTCTTCCATTGCTGCACGCGCCCAGAGAAACTCTGTGTACAACTCTTAGCCATCTGGAGTACCGGCAATTAAGACTTCGTAAGATTCCTAAGCCTCGTTTATCAGAGCAATATCCAAGATGGCAAAGAATAATGATTAATCAGAGGGTTCCTAATTAGATGTTGTATTTCAATTTGCAGACTTTAGTAGTCTTTTTATTTTTTTTCTTTAAATACTGGTGAAAGCCTGAGCCAACTCATTTCCTGTGGCAATAACCTTTACGTAGCTGAAGATTGCAAATTGAAATTACGGTAACTTTGTAAAACTGGTTTTATACTAGTACCTTTAGAGAGATGGGAAGTAGTGCTTATCGTGAGGAACAAGTAAAGGTGGAGAAGCTGTTGAAAGGCTAGTTTAGAAGGCGTATTTTTGAAACCAAACTGCCTAGCAGGCACAACTGAAGCAGAAAGGGACAGTCACAGAGGGTGTGTTCCCGGGACTGGGGGCGGTAGCAGTGGGAGCAAAGGCACTGGGATTCCTGAGATGGGAAAACTGGCATTGCTGTCGCTCCAAGGAAAGGGTTAATCGGCTCCCGGTGGAGAGGAAAAAGCCTGCCATGAGCTGCAGAATTGTCAGACAGGGAGGAGGAGCAGGGGGTGGACCTCCTGGTGAGGGTGCAAGAGGAGCAACAGAGACCTGGGGAAGATCCTCTGACCTGGGGGAGATCCTCTGTCCCGGGAGGAACCTCTCTGGTGGGCTCCACAGCTTCTCTAGAGGAGCTGCACCCGCCGAAGAGCTGGCAGCAGCAAGGGACCCTGCTTCGACCTGTGTGAGTCTCCCGGCCGGCGCTGCAGGGGCTGAGGGACGATGCTGCTGTGGAAGTGTAGGAGTTGCGGGCGTGGGGACCTGAGCCATCACCGAGTGGTGAGCTCTGCCCCGTCAGCTGGGGCGGCGGCGGCTCGTGGATGGGAAAAAACTCTAAAATCACTTTTTACAAGGAGTTAGGGTTGGTTGTGCGGCTGCTCTTGCTGGCGTTGGGTTTTTACCAGGCTGAACCGTAGTGCAGAAAGGGAGTGTAGGCTAAAACCAAGGGGCTGAATTAGGCTGTCTTCTTCCCAGCGCCGAGTGAGGTTTGGGGACTCCCGGGAGCAGAAGGTGGCCCTGACCTTCTCACCTGGAGGGGATCAGTGGTGCAGAGCTCCTGAACACCGTCACGCATCTCAGCTGGTCAGTGAGAAATGGACTTAATTTTTGATGAAACTGTTGGGCTTTTTTGCACCAGAAACTTTTAAATTGAGGGTCGACGCTATGCAAAAATGTGGTTGCCGTGTCTAGTTTCCTCATGCTTTTATTTAAAAAAAAAATAAAAGAAAATACCTCGCTTTTCCTACCCTGGGCTCAGCATCATGGTGGCAACCGCTGGAGGTGCTGATAGAATTGAAAGGGATCAGAACTGCCCCCTTGTCTCTAACCTTCCCTTGCGTTGCGCAGGGCTGCACGTTCCCTCCGCTGTCCAGCTCAGTCAGTGTTTTACTTTTGTTTTTGCTGTTCTAATACCATTTTTAATTGTTTCTGCGCTGTGACCTACCACTCTGTGAAACTCTCGCCTGCTAATAGGACGTGAGGTACAGCTGAAGTCAGAGCTCTTCAAGGTGCGTAGCCCTTGCTGGTGTAGAAAGTATTGTGAAGGACTCTGCCTTCTGTGCAGCCATAAAATTATTATTTATTTCAATAAGCTTTTCTTCCTCCTGACCATATACTCATGGTTTAATTGCTGCCTGAGTTTTCCCCTCTTGTTGTCCCAGATGTGTGACCGGCTGCCCAGGGTAAAGTGGCAGCTGTTTGCCAGATGTACAGAGGGACTCATTTCTTTGCCAGGGGAGATGTGCTTGTGATTACTTTCCACCTCTCTCTGCCCTTTCAGCCTGAGTTATGGAGTGTAAACATTAAAAAAAAAAAAAAAAAAGAAGTGGACATGTAACATAAATAGAAAATACATATTTTTTGAGCAACAGGTCCAAGCGCATTCACAGCAGTTAACTTTGAAGTGATTTCCTGGTCAGCATATTTGCAGTGTCCTTCATTCTGATGCCATAATCTCATTTTTCATGCATAACTTGATGGTTTTTCTTAGTCAGATTGTTTTTGTGTGTGTTTAATCATTCTGCCAAGTGATTTTGAGGTAGACAATGGTGATGAAACATTGCAGTCGGCGACCTTCCCATGCAGCTCCAGCCCAATGTTTTCTTACCGATGCGCTGCAGGATGCACAGCAGACCAGCTGTATCTGCCGGGGTTCAGGGTGACTCGTGGGGTTTAGCAGCACAAACTTCTGCTTTAAAACACATTTATAGTGTTCTGTTATGCATTTTAAGTTTTCATCCTGTTGCTTTTTTATGAATATTTCCCAGACTCTACTGTATATTGCTTGTACAGGTGGAATAAACGCTGTAGCTGTGGCACAGCAACGACAGACAAGTCATGTTACCCATGTTGCATTGACTTTTTGTGTGTTTTAGATCTGCAGATGATCTTAGATTAGCGTTAGGACCGAGTACCGTTCGCTAGAGCGAGACAGAGATGAGTTTACAATTGCACACAGTCAACCTCATGCTGAATGTTAAGGAACAAAATCCCGACGAAATTGAGAACGTTTGCTTTATTGACTTCAGGGAGCGTGTGGTAGGGTGGAATTTAGCTCTCAGCTTTTTTGGAAGAAGGGTTTTTTTCCCTTTTTTGGTGATTACCTAAGTCTAGAGACTGCCTTCAGGTAGGAAGTGGAGTTTCAGTCCAAAGCAGACTTTATCTAGATGAGGAGGGCACCTTTGAGGAGAAAGGAAAGCCTTGAGAAGGGTCAGGCTCAACGCCGACGCGTCTGGCAAAATGTTGACTTGAGAGAGTAACATTCCATGTTATTCCCTCAAAAGTGTGTTGTGCTGATGGAAAAATGGCAAGCAGCTGTTCCTAGACCTCTGCAAAACAAGCTTCGCATTTTTGTCACCAACGTGGAGCTTAAAGCTTTAATGTTCTGTATGTGCCTGACTGTAAATCCAACTTACACTGGGGTGTAATGTATGTCAAATCCTTTCAGAAAGAAGGTGAGGAGACCAAGTGTGGTGGTGAGGGATTCAGAGTAAATCATCTTGTTTGAGACGGAGACATTCTCAAAAGGGAGATTGTTTGATCCCTCATTTTGCCCTTGGATTATATAGATATATTTTAGCATATAAGGAATTTGGGTGAAAATATCCCTCTGCCCTTATGTCCGCCAGCTGGCCCTGCATTTCAGATGCGGTGGTGTTGAATTTACTCCTATTTGCAAGGCCGGCTGCACAGTTTTCCAACTGTCAGGGATAATTCCTTAGCTAATATACTTTGAATTGCATGGGAATGCTCAGGAAAGACAGATGGCTTTGTTATAAATGACAGAGAGGAGCCCTTCAATTGCAGATCGAAACCTGAGTTTTGCATAAACCCCCTTCGTTGTCAGCGGCTGTGCAAGCACCAGGGCGCGGTGCCGCGGGGAGGGTTTGTGGCATCACCATGAGATTTTCTCATTTAAAAGTTCAGATTTTAGGCAAGAGTAAGGAGCAAGGCAGATGGGCCTTGAGAAAACACTTTGGCGAAGCAGTTCTGCTCAGCGCTTCGCTGCATATTTTGTCCTTGTTTGGTTTAGCCATCTATTCGCAGCTTAGCTGTTCGGTAGATTAATACAATAGATGTTTGGAGAGGAGTCAGTGTTCCTTCAGAAGATGTTGAGAGCGAAATGGAGGGACGAGCTGTTCTTCTGGTGGAGGCAATTCGGAAGGGCAAAAATCGGAGTCAGTCATTGGGGAATCTGCCAAAAGGACACTTTTCAGGCAAACCTTATTTCTAGGTGCCCAAGGTGTACTGCCCTGCTCCATCTCAGTAATGTCGGTGTTCAAGTCTAACCATGTAAAGGCGAATTGTTGGTGAGTCAGGAAAAAACCAAAATTAAACGGACAGGCGCTGTGATGTGCCTTACGCTGTTTGTGTCTCATGCTTAGATGTGGTGTTGGGTGATGTGGTTTAGGGGTGACCTTGTAGTGTAGGGTCAATGGTTGGACTCGATGATCCTAAGGGGCTTTTCCCACCTGAATTGTTCTATGATTCTGGGATTCTATGTGTTGAGTTTAAGATACCCATGAAGGACTCGGCAATTATAAAAAGCAGTTGGCAGGTTCCCTTGAACGCCTAGGGGTGTGAGCAATTGGCAGCTGAAAGCTCCTCTGCTGCTTTGTTGGGATTTTTTTTGGTGGTTTGGGTTATTTTTTTCTCCCCCATTAAATTGAAACCGATGCAGGTTTTGTCAGATATTTCTCAGTAAACGTGAAGCTATAGCAGGTGTGCTTTACCGAAGATTTCATCAAATTTTTCCCCACCTGAGAAGGTGAAAGGCTCCTCTACCTTGGTGGTGTGTTAGGGCGTAGAGAATTAATGCTAAAAAAGCCTTTTGCTGCTACTGTGTACTTTTTCATTTCTAATTCTGGTATCGGAACTCTCGCGGGGAGCACTCTTGACCCACGACGATTTGCTTTTGTTTGTTTTGAGCAAACCTGGGCATGCCCTTTGGTTTTGACATGTTTTTCTAATGTATGAAATTTGAACCCTCATCTCATAAGTAAGATTTAGGTTTGCTTAAGCAAATAATTCTTTTTAGTGGGTCACAGCCAGCCAGCCACGTGTACGGATTATTTTGTTTTCTTCCTACAAGAACGGGGTTTTTTTTCGATCTCGGCAGCTCTCTGCTAGGCAAAAATGGGAATCTGAGTCTTTGTATGACTATTCTGTCTTTTTTCTCTTTTTTTTTTTTTTAACCTTCTAAATTTATGAATTATGTATTTCACTCTGGAGTTTAAAGACAAAGGGGAGTGGTTGACCTGAAATAAATAAATAGATAAATAAATCCGAGTTTAAAGTCGAATCTCAGGCTTGAATGGCAACCAAATGTTAAGAAAAAGATAAAAGTATAATCTGAAGCTGGAATATTCAGAAATTTTCAGAGAGGTGACAGTATTTGTTGAAATTTGCCCATAAAATGTATTCATGCAGTGAAGTACTTGCAGGCGCTTTCTGAAATACATGTTTTCTGTGTTTTGTTTGGTTTTGTTTTGATCCAAGGCAGCATCAGGTGAGCCAAAAGCCTACTCTTCAGTGCTTTAGGCCTCCTTATCTGCCATCAGCCATCATTTACTGTTCTTTGAGGGTGAAACTTTAAAAGGATTTGAGTGGAGTTAAACATCCAAATCTCATTCAGTTCTGTGCTTAATCAGATTCTGGGTTTTTTAGATAAAGGAAATCATCTTTCCTTTTTATTCTGCTTATTGACTTAATTGGAAATACTTGGGTCCTTAAGTAATAGGGTCTAACTGCGGAATCTGTTCACAAATTAATTTTATCAATTTCTCAGCCATCTTGTTTTAGTAGATAGAGACATTGCGTGTTTTTAAAACAGAATCAGGTTTTTTTCTTTTATTTAAGCTGATGACAAACAAAAAGGGTAACTCTTGTGTTGCCACGCTCATCGTCTGTAGCTGAATGTATAAAGGAAAAGTATTCACAAGGAAACCTTCCATTGAACTGAATGGAATGGGTTCTCAGCATTCCAGATGTTGGGCAGCTGTGAGCTGCTCCTCAAGGAGAGCCAGAGGGTGATGAGGGAGCGTCTTGTCCTCCCTCTTGGCAGCTTGGTGTTGGAAGAATTGTCAGCCTGGGCTTTGGAAACATGCAGCTACCTGTCGACGCTAACTGCCATGGGGCTCCAGGCAATTATTTTTTTTGAGTCTACTTTTGTTACGTGTACGAAGAGATGATATTATACATAAAAAGTGTTATTTAGCCTGAGAACTTGCGTATCAGTTTTCCTCCAGTCTCATAACGTTGGTCAGATATCTGTTATTTTAATTAAGAGACTGTATACCCTGGGGAGGATCATGCTGAGTTAAGATCTGGGTCCTGAGATATTATAAAGTAGAGAGAGGTGACCTGTGACTCCCCTAGAAGTGTCTGCGTGTTGCTTTTAAATCCGCTCTGTCTGCTTAAAACAACCCCCCCTGAAAGAAATGGAAACTGCTCGTGTCGCTCTCGATGTGGCGAAACGGATTCTGCTTCTCTGAGTTTTCTTCCACATCGAACAGCTGGGTTTTCTCCTTGCAAGGCCATGCTCGTGGGCTAGCTCTTCCAAATCTAGACCTGAACGGTCTTCCTGCAAAACTGTTAACACCTGGCAGAGATTTAACTTGATTTCTAGGTTGATTCTAGGTTACGCTGCTCTGCTACTCGTTCCCGGTGAGATTCCACCAAATGCAACCGCAGTGTAGAGCTGTTGGGTGTGTTCTCTTGCTCCCCTCCTTGGTTTTTGAGTTGGATTTGAGCTTGGTTTGGGTTGTTTTTTGGGAGGGTGGATGAGGGTGTTGGAGAGTGTTGGGGACGTAGAAAAGCAAAAGATTTGTGGGAAAGAAGAACATGGAATATTCCAAGGTATTCTTGACTCGTTCTTGAAACTGGCTGTCTGAAGAAAAGAGGGATTTTTTTTGTTTATTTATTTACCGGCTCAGTGGTTTGAGAGTTAAGGCAAAAAATAGATAAATAAATGGAATAATTTCAGAAAGGAGTTATTTTGAAAATTTAGAATGTTTCTTGAATATGACTTCAGAGTCCACAGGGTATAACGGTGAGGTTTGTGAAGGTTTGCCCTGTGTACAACTGAGTTCATGTACAAACTAGTGTGCTTACTTTGAAGTGCAGTGGTACTTAGAAATACGGTAGCCCTAGATTTTTAAGTCAGTTTTGCATTAAGACTAACAACTTTAAAGTATTAGTTACTCCAAAGGTTGAACTGACTCTCAAAGTAGGGAAAAATGTCCTTAATTAAAAGATAGAATGGAATTCTTTTTCAAACTAAATTGTTTTTCTCTATCTTTTCAGGGTATAAAGCCAGCAAGCTTTGAGAAAGTTACTGATCCTGAAATTAAGGAGATAATTGGGGAGTGCATTTGCAAAAATAAAGAAGAAAGGTATGTTTCAAGTAATCAAGTTGTGCGTTAAATAACGTGCGTGCAGGGATTTCAAAGCCGTCTGTGAAATTTTTTTTGGCCTGGCCTTTGGGTCTCCTCTGCGCAGGACAAAACGCAGAATGGAAATACAAATGTAACTGCCTGCTTTCCTGCCATGTAACATCAGGAAAATTGAATAAATTATCGTTACGTTGTGCCTCTTGATCTCTCGGCTTCAAAGAAGAAGGTCAGAAAGCGTCGTCGTGGACGTGTGAGCTAGCACGTTCTCGGTCGTTCTGGCATATCTGTCTGTAAAACCTCGCTCCGGATGTTCTGCGTGGAGCTTCCACTGGGATGGGCGTTGGCCGTGAACGGGACATGGTAGATTGTCCCTGCTCTGTTACAGCAGATTCCAGTGAGTCCTTGGCCTCTGGATGAGGAGATAAATTGTGCCTCGTTTCCGGCTTTGGTTTTAAACCTGATCTTTTCTTACACTGGCCTCTCCTACGTGAGTGTGTCTGCTGTGCAGTACTTCATAACTTTCACAAATACAGGTTTTAGGGACCGTTGCTTGACTCCCTAGAAGGGAAGCTCTTGTTTAAGCACTCTTTAAGTTCAGATACTCAGCAAAAATGGGGCAAAGTTATAATCTGCAGTACTGTACATGCTTACGGTGCACAGATTCGTTGTGGATGAACACCAAACGCCCTGTAAATGTTTTTGCCTTTAACAGCAGGTTCTTGTCACAAACCTCTTTGAAATTGCATAAGATTTGCAGTATTTAAATATTCTTTGTTTCCATTGCAGATATGAAATTAAAGATTTATTAAGCCATGCCTTTTTTGCTGAAGATACTGGGGTAAGAGTGGAACTTGCAGAAGAAGACCATGGTAGGAAATCCTCTATTGCCTTAAGACTCTGGGTAGAAGATCCTAAGAAACTGAAAGGAAAACCCAAAGATAATGGAGCCATTGAGTTTACTTTTGATCTGGAGAAGGAAACTCCTGATGATGTTGCACAAGAAATGGTAAAATAAACTTCTCCTGACAAAAATGTATATATATAAAGTAGTGCATAAATCTCAAAAGGACAGCAGAAAAGTCTGGTAAAGTAACTTCAGCCATTCCAAGTGTCTAGTTTCAGCAGTTTGGACTGATTTTGTAATGAATGCTGCAACGAAAGGGTAAATGGGGAAGAACTAATATCTGAAAAATACTGTTAAACAGTTATGAAAATAGGTACATGAAATGGCATTTCAAAGAGCTTCGGGACCGTAGAGGTCTCTTCTACTGTTATGTTTTGACAACTCTGTTGCCTGTTTCTGTTAGCTGTCGAACGTCTTTAAGTTGGTTTGGAAGCTATTTAGTTTCAGACAGCAGCCTGAAAGAAATTAGAAGAGTTTGAGGTTCAACCACAAAATACTCCGCACCGAATTCTTCATAGCACTTCTTTCCATGTTTTCTGTTGATGTTGCTCAGGAGGGATGGAGATGAGGAGTCTGTGGTCAGCCACTCTATCACCAGACAGAAATAGGAAACTGGATGCAAACCCCCTGCGGAGAGTTAGGAATAAGCTTCGGGTTTTTAACTGATAAATTTAACATGAATTTCTGTATCTGCATAACTTGTGGGCTTTTGTTAGAAAAACTATTTTGTGTTCCAGTTTTGCTGTGTAGTCCTTGAACTCATGTTTTAATGATGTCTTTACTGCAGTTGTTTAGGTTTTCTAATGTCGTGGCGACCTAGAATCAGTAAGCACCGAGTCAAAGGTCTCAATTTCCTTGCGCTTGCAGAAACGTTCCTATTATAATCTAAATCCCGAGGGATCCCATTTAATGATGTTGTCATCACCACTCCCATTCTGTTTAGGAGGCACTCATTTTGGTAACGTCGCCTTCCTGTGCTTGGGCTCATCACCATATAGTCTAAATTTAGTGGGAGAAATTCAGGCTTCTCTGTCTTCTTGTCATTCGTTTGCAGTAGGTCCTTGATTTTTTGAGCAATGTATTGTTACAGAATTCATTTAAAAGGTACTCTGGTACAGTTACTTGCCGTTATATTTTGCATTTAAATACTTTTGGGAATATTTGGGGTTTTGAAGTTCTGTAGGTTGCTTGGCCTGTAGTTGAGATATTTTACTTTGAAGAGGAAATAATTCTCGTTAGAAGTGTATTTAAAAGGACCGCTCCCAAACTAATGTGGTACTATGCCCTTTCCTAAATAATCTGCAGAACTTGTGGTTTACTGTTACATTAACGGTCTCCCAAATGACTCAAGTGGGCAAAGGGGGACGCCTATTCCTAAGTGTCTTTTATTGTAACTTTTGTGAACTGTGGAACACCAAAGCCATGTGCTTTCATCAGTTTGTGCGCTGAGGAAGGCAGGAACGCAGGAGACCTTTTGAGCGCAGGGAATTATTTCTCATTAGTGATGATTTGCGTAGCCGGGCGCTCCAGCATATCCAGACGGTGTAGGCAGAAGGAGCTTAAAACATTCCGGTGGGTTTGCACCCTCAGGTTACCTTTTGCAACCGGTGGGTACTGTAAAATAGCAGCACTTCATTGAGCTTTAACCATTCTCTGTATCTAGTTGTAAGAATAAGAATTGTTTTTAGAAAATGGTTCACGTGGCGAGTTTTCCATGCCTTCCCCTTAAGCCTTGCCGTGAAGCATCTACTGGGCACCTTAGTTAATACCATACAAGGTTCCCTGGACCTGCGTGGTTCTTCTCTCGAGTAATTCCCTCCTGGCGTTAGCGTTTGCTGGATCATCGGTTCAGGAATGTCAGTAAGGTCTGAGGGCACAGAGAGTGGAAAATACCCACATCCATCTGCAGCTGTGTTTTAAGCTGCTTTGCACTTATTAATTTTAAACAGCAAAAAATCTGAGCTGTAGGACTGTCTTGTGTTTGGGCAAGAGCAAAGAGGGAAAACCTCTAGGTTTCCTCCAAGCGCTGTAGAATATGCATGTTAAGAACGTAGGAAATGTCTGGGAGGTCGTTATTAAACCAAAACTCGTGCCCTGTGCTGTAGGAGATTAGGCAAACAACCAGATGAGTTTCCATTTTATCTGTTGAGCAGTTGAATTCTGAGGAAGCCCACTCCCCTTTTCAGTCAAATGTGGACAGTCTGCTTTGGACTCTCTATAAAAGTCAATCAGTATTGACTTGACTTTACCACTTAAGTTAATTTGAGAGAAATTCTGTTCATGTCTTTTCCTTCATGACCTGCTGTGATACCAAGCACAGCAGTTTGGGAAACTCTGTGTGCTGGAAAGGTTGAGGCAATAAGTTCTGGTTTATGGGTAGTACAGTTTACTCCAGTTGCATTCTTCAAAGAGGATTTTTCAAATATTTGGTTCCCTCTTTTGACTATTCTGCTGGTCTTTCCAAACAACAAAGACATAGGCAAGCCACCTGCAGTTAAACTTGCTCTCTTCATGGGCGTTAGCTGGTGGATAAATTGACTAAATAGATACTGAAACTGCATATTGTTGATCTGAAACGCTTTAGGGATAGATGTTTTATTAAAACACAAACAAGCTCTTGAGTTCCTGCTCTTGTGAGGAATAAATTTGTGTTCTCACCAACGAATACCTTCTCTGTTAGGGAGAGAGTTGAGTGTTACGCGTGTGTGCGAGCATAGCCTTGCTAATAACTTCATGCCTCCTCCGTAGATCGACTCGGGATTTTTTCATGAAAACGATCTCAAGATAGTCGCGAAGTCAATACGTGACAGAGTAGCGTTAATACTATGGAGAAGAGAGAGGATCTGGCCTAGGATGCAGTTAGAGGAACGTCGCGACTCGGAAGGGCTGGAGAAGGTGAAGGCGCCGCAAGCGCAGCAGGTCCAGGTCACCTACCTTTCTCACACGGGTCACCATGTGCTGTCGGAGTCGGAGGAGCCCGAGGCGGACCAGCACCCCTTCCAGCCAAACCTGCCCACCAGCGTCACGTCTGTGGCATGTAAGTCTCGTCCATTTGTTGTGCGCGCGCGGCCATGAGGAGGGTAAAAACAGGATAAATGGAGCACGGCGTTGAGGTGAGCTGCTTGGGTGAGGTTATTGCGTGGTGACTCAAAGGGCACGTCTAGGGCAGCTGCTTAACAATTTAGAAGAAGTATTGCTTCAGCAAAAACTATACTCTGTAGAGATAGCTCCTCCTTCAGTAGCGATAAATGCAGAAAACAATGTGTTGGTAAAATGAAGAAGGAGGGATACTTGCTGCTAGACACAAAAAAATACGTGTTTTTGAGGCCGGGTGCTGGGATCGACACCAAGTTTGTGCAAAACACCATTTCAGAGCGTGCCGAAGTTGAACTGGCACCAACCTGGTCAGAGCAACTGGTGGCCTTTTCAAATTATGTTGGCAAGGCGAAGGTGTTGACTCCAAAGCAGGTCTGACTGCAACCAAAGCACTGCAATTGCTTGTGATTTGCGGGTTATTCTTGATGGCTTGTGTGAGGTTTTTTGTGAAGCTGTGCAAAGGTCCACAGCAGAGGGAGGGGAAAAAAACCCATCCCTCTCTGTTACGTGGTGGAATTGAAGATTTCCCTGGTTTCTGAGAAATACCAACTGCGGTTTGGGAGCACCAGCCCTGGGGGGCTGACACAGGAATTGGTGATGGGGTCCTAAGGTGGTGACACGAGAGTTCTTCATTCTCCCAGCTCCCTGTTTTGTCCTGAGCTCGTTGGCCTTGAGGCAAAGGAGTGGTTTGATCTCTGACATGGGGGGTCAGGATGGGGGATGTTCTCATTCATCCAGGCTCTGGTACCCACAAGCCAACTCTTGACGTTCAGCTGAGCCTGGTTCAAGGGCGACTGCTGGGATATCTTGAGGCGGGAGGATTTACATGTCCTGTTTTAATTCCAGTTAAATGGTTTTGGTCTATCTCTGAATAAGAAACTGCCTGGCTTTACTCGCAGAGCTTGTTTCTTCGTTCTATTTCTGAGCGCCAGACTTATCTCCAGCAAACAGCAAGGCAGGAGGAAGCGGTGGTTTTATTTCCCTAAAGTAACTTTGTCTCTGTCCCCTAAAATCAGTCTTTGTTTTACCGAGTCAAGCTCTGGTATTGAAATCTTAATCTATTTGTACTTTTAATCATCTCGAAGGAAATGTTGCTGGATATTTTTAGCATGGAAGATACAAGAGAGTTGCCTGCTTTTTTTTTCCCTACTCATTTTTTCTGGTAAAATCTGATGTAAATACTTTGCTACCAAAGAATTATCATAATTTTTCCATTTTACTCTTCTGGGCTTTTATGTAAGTATATTTAAATTAGAGATGCATTATCTTTAGCTTGAAGTCAGGTATTGTATAAATTGCCATAGAGAGGCCTGCTTTGAATACTAAACCAACCTCAGAATACTGCAGTATTAACAAAGTTTTGTTTGTTTTTTTTTTCCTGAAAAAATTGATCTCCTAAATTGATTTCCTAAATTGATCTCATTTCTTTTTTTTTTTTTGATCATAGATTCATTCTGCGCTAGGTACTTCTGTTAAGAAGCACTGTAATTGTGACCATTTTTGCTTCCAACGGTGCAATGATGCTCCTTCTGCTTCCCCTGGTTCTGCTGGACATGACTTTGCAGAATCTTATACCAAATATAACCCCCCCCACCAATTTATTTTCTACTCCTCCTCAACATTTAACCAATACTTGGTGTTATTTGACAATTCAAATTCAGCTATCTTGGAACATTTTTGTAGTGATGAGAGACCTCAAACCGCTATAAATTATTGTTCTTCTAATTCATATAATCTTCTGAGGTCAAACGTAAAACTGTAAATTAATAAGGTATGTAATGCTTGTTGTTCTGTAAAAATCTGAGAATGACTCACAGCTTTTACCTTAGCGCTCTACTGTCATACTCTTTTTTTTTTTTCTTTCGAGCTCTTAAATAATTGTAATGCAATGGAAGTGTGTATGTGGCAGAAATCCCTGCCTTCTCGGAGTAGGGCCATGTTGACTCTTTTTAGAAATGAGCTGAATAAATGTAGAAGAGAGTTTAATTTAAAAAGAAAAAAAAGCTGGGAGAATGATTTGTGTGTACTGAGGAGAGATGTCATCTTTGGTGCTGTTAAAAAATAATTTGTTATTTGAAAGACAAATAAGTGAAATCTTATTTGGAATATGGAAAAAAGAAAAGGTGGAAAGAGTCAGAAAAAGAAAAAACATTTGAGCTTAGCTGTAATTTAAGCCTTTTTTTTTTTTACTCTATTACAGTTTCAGTTTTTATTTTAAATCTCTGTTACAAGGTATTTGTACTTTGGATGCCTGCAGCTATGGTCTTGATTGTCTCATTCCATTTCTGAAATGAAGGAGACAGTAGCTTGTGCTCAAGAAGAGCTGGGCACCTGGACTTCAAAAGTCGTGAAAAGACATTTTTAAATCAGTAATAATCAATGAGGCAATTTTATTTCCACTGGACAGAAGATACAGTGCTTGCCCAGTGCCCGTAGCTGTGCAATTCTGCAAGTTAGCTGGGCAAGCATGACCTGAGCCACTCCGACAGAGCTCCGGGGAGTACCCCTAAGTCACTGCAGACCTACAGATTATTTTGTTATCTGTTCTTCGTCTTGAGGTGTTGCTCTATACTCAAGTAGAGTATGATTTGCTGAACTAACGAAGTGTACCATATAAATTTATATTAATTTAATCAGTGCTATTGATTTAAAAAAAAAAAAAGGTCTTAAAGTCAGCCTATCCCTGAGAGATCTAACTCTAAAAGCCCCCGTGATCTGCTATGAATGTTACGGTTGGGGTTTCCTTGCCTTTCATCCGACAAAAATCTATAAACGTCTGCAAATCTTAATGTCAACCTGATGCCCTTTAAAGGAAATACCAATGTGCCTAAAATACCATCGTGCACAGAAATCCATGGGGATGGTTTTTGGCCGGAGAGAAGCAGCATGTGCCTTTCGTGGAAAATAACATTTGCCTTGTATAATATTATTTATATAATGCGCTGTGGTAGTAAAAACGCTAATTACATAAACCGGCGTTGACCTTGCTTTGGAATTATTGCTTGAACGTTCGGAGTCGTCGAGCTTTTTAATGAGAAAAATATTGTTCTTTCAGCTGACAGCACGTTTGACAGCGGCCAGGGGTCCACTGTCTATTCAGACTCCCAAAGCAGCCAGCAAAGTGTCATCTACTCGTCTCTGCCGGATCCCGTGCCTCCCGCTATCCAGCGGGTGTACAGCCCACCCCTGAGCGAGAGCCAGGCTGTGCCCCATAACCTTCAGCAGCTGGGCCACTACCAGCAGCCCTCAGCAGTAAGTCCAAAGCTTTTCAGAATCCTTTTCTATCCTAGATCGTATGTAACGACCCCTTTATGCTCCCGTTTTTAGTAGGTATGGATTTTAGGGCTTGCCTAATTTATTCCTCGCTCACTTCTGTCTTGCTTAGTAAAACTTTTCTGGTTGGCCTGAAACATACACTTAGTAGATGGTGTATGGCTCCATATATTTGCCATTCTAAAGAAATGCTTCACCAGCAGCTGTCACACTCTGAGTAAAAAAGCTTCTTGCCAACCCCTTGTCACTGAACTGCATTAGTAGCTTTGCGAAGATTTGTTTTAAGCTCACGCACATGTTGAGAACTGTTCTCTTTGATTTGTTTGCTGTCCGTGTAGCCACGCGTTATTACTCCTTCATGTGCTCAAGAGCTTCTTGGCTCTGATGTTTCTTCCGGTTGTGACAAAGGTCACACGTCCAGTCACTGCCTTTTTTGGCTCTGGGTTTGGATTTAAATCCTGCACAGAGTGGCCGATGTATGTCTGTTACTCCAAAATCAGGCACTGGGAGCCCACTCAGACGTTCGCACGTACTCCCTTTTTTGTGCTTGTATGACCTTGGCCAAAGCAATTAATGGAACTACTGGCGCAAGAACAAACACGTGCGAGTGAACGTAAACCTCGGGTGCTTCCAGTCAGAGGTACGACACGGACGCATTACATCCTCCAGAACCTGTGGCAACACCACGTTCCGGTTCCAGCGCGCGTCCTTCTCGTGTGACAGCCGACGCTTGCGCTACTTTCTGCTGCCACCGCAGCCCCGTCACGACTTTGACTCCAAATGCAGCGTTTTTTCCCCAAGAGGGAAGGAGAACCCCTATCTGCATGCTAGAGAAAAGGCGGCAGGCGCACGACCTCAGGTGGCACTGGGGGCCCCCAAGGGGCTAATGTTTCCTCCACAGTCTTGTTGGATGTGCCTCTCCTGGTTGTGTCATTCTGGCCGAGATCAAAACCTGCAGGAGTCTTGGTGCCTGTTGAAAGCGCTTGCTCCCCCAGGTAGTAACCGCAAGACTCGGCATCTCAAAGAAAGTCCAGACCTGCCTCTGCTACATGAATCTTTACAATGTGTAATTAGCCAAAAAGACCAGTTCTTCTCCCACAAGATGTGCAAGAGTTGCAGAAAACATTCTGCCTTCTGCTCCTTCGATGGTGGAGAAGCCAACACGCCCAGCGGCTGCCAGCGCTGCGGTGAATCATGTGCTGGAGCAGTGGAAGCCAACTGCCTGGGAACAGCAACGGTAGCGATGTGTTAGGTTAGTTTTTTGTTGGGTTTGGTTTCATCCTATATGGCTTAAGAGAAGAAGAAATGAAATCCAGGCCCCACGTTTCAAGTTGTGGGGTTTTTTTTTCCCCTGCTTGATCCAGTTTTACCCTACACACTCAGGAAGGTGCATCATTTTCCTCAGTTTTACCATGTGTTTTCCAAAATGCCTGCAAGAAACAATGAACCGTATTTTATGAATGCATTGCAACGAGGCTCTTTTTACCTGAAGGACAAAAAAACCCCTTCATCCTTGGCATCTGGAGCCTGCTCCCCCTGCTGTGGAAACCACCTTTCCTGTTGACATCTGTCTTCTGGGAATTATCCCTTCTCATTCACCTGAAGCACTTGCTTAAAAAACTCACAATGTTACGCTCAGAAGGCACATCCTGAGCTGAATTTTTCTTAGATATTGAGCCATGCAGCATACTGATTCTTTCCATTAATAGATTTCAATAATTTTAACCTAAACGCATTAATTTTTCCATGATTGAGGCTTTGGGAAGATAACGACCTTCAGTCGTGAACAAAATATTTCTCCTAGGTTTTATTTTTTAATGAGCTTTCCGTATAGTTTTTTTTCTTCCTGCAATACCTTAGGTGCAAAGTTCAGAGGTTTGCGAATCTCAACAAATACAGGAAACAAAAATTTGACTCCAAACCTTCCGTTTTCCAAGGAAAAAGAAAAAATTTTTATTTATCTGTGAGATTATTTACGAAGATAGCAACCACATAACTGGAGCTGTAGTAGATTTGGGGTGGTTTTTTTAGCCCTATAAACCTCAGTCTGACATAGAGTTTCTTTTTATCTGCTTTGAGCTGAAGTTTTAGAGAACTGCTGCTGTTACAAACTGTAAAAGAAATTCAGATAAATTTAGGTTTGTTTCTGCTTGCATTGTGGCTTTGTTTCTCAGTTCTCTATTTGTTTTCTCGGCAATCCTTTCAAGTAAATTTTTGGGGAGCTAAAGATTCTGTATAAAATTCTACAAATCTCTGTGAAGATAGATTTCTGTTTTACCCAGCAGGCAGCATGGATCATAATCTGTAACGTTGTATGCGCTCTCAGCAGTTTTACCAGCTTGCACGTTTGCTTTCAGAAAGAAATGTGGTGTGGTTTGCTTGTCTTATTTGGAATTTGCTGCTCTTTTCCCATTTTTCCTTGAAGTAACTTTCCATTCCTTGCAGATAACCTTCATTTTTTCTATTCTTAATTTCATTTTTTAATTTTTCAATTTATTTTTTTTATTTTTAAATTTTTTTCCTTTTTTTTTTCAATTTTTCTTGTTCAAATTTTTTCTCGATTCTCCCTCTTTTTTCTCCTCCCTCTTTTTTCTCCTCCCTCTTTTTTCTCCTCCCTCTTTTTTCTCCTCCCTCTTTTTTCTCCTCCCTCTTTTTTCTCCTCCCTCTTTTTTCTCCTCCCTCTTTTTTCTCCTCCCTCTTTTTTCTCCTCCCTCTTTTTCTCCCTCTTTCTCCTTCTTTGCTTTTTTCATATTTTTTTCAATTTATTTTTTCCCACCTCCCTCTTCTCCTCCCTCTTTTTCTCCCTCTTTCTCCTTCTTTGCTTTTTTCATATTTTTTTCAATTTATTTTTTCCCATTTTTCCTTGTTTCCTTTTCTCCCTTTTCTCCCTTCTTTTCTCCCTTTTCTCCCTCTCTTTACTCCCTCTTTTCCCTTTTCTCCTTCTCTCTTTTCCCTTTTCTCCTTCTCTTTACTCCCTTTTC